GAGTCAGTCTGATCTGAGATTCCCTGGAGAGTTACATTGACAGGCTAGAATAAAAGATCCAATCAGCCCAAGTAGTGAAATGTGAAATATTAAGGAATAAGAACTTAGGATGAGAAAAAGTGATGGTTCTTCTCAGAGGAAGCCTGACGCGACCGGATCAACACCCACCCCTCCTCACCAAATAAAGATGACACCCCTAACTTTGCCGCGGCCAAAAGCCCATCTGCTGCCCAGCCTGGGACAGGCTGAAAATCTGATTTGCTGATCAAGACAGCTTTGATCTGGCGAGGGGCCTGGTGTCATCTCCTGTTTCCTTCACTCTGATGGACAGGAATGATATTTTCTGGAGCAATCTGAGAAGTTCCGTGGAGGAAAATTCTGTTTCTGATTTGGGTAGTGAATTTAGGGAATTTGGAGCTTGCGAGATATGCCAGCAGGACCAAAACCAAACTCTGAGACATGCTGTAAAATGAAAGTGCTTTCTTGTGCCGTTTTCACAAATCAAATCTCAAAACTCCCCACCCCATGATGCGGTGCGGGCTGACTGTTGAATGCAACTTCTCCTTTAAATTACACTGTCAGATTTTGCATGCGTGCATTGTGATTAATCGATTTACCCCATGTGGTTCCAGTTTGGGGAGCATCATTTTTCTTCAAGATTGCATGCTCCTTGGTGGTCTTTGCCTTTTCTTTCTAAAGATGGACATAAAAATTTCCCGATACTGTGGCTTCTCTTAATGATGAAAACCCGGCCTTAGATCTTTCCAGTAATTTACACCTGAATATCTCCACCACTGACAGTAACTCTTGAAATGTCCCAGCTGGAATTTCCACTTAAGCAGGATGAGAAGGGAGTGAGGAGGTGTTCCTTTTCCTTCTCCGTTCCTTTTCACCTCCCCCTTCTCCATCACCTTTCTGCTCCACTCCCTTCCTGCCCCTGCTCACTACTCAAGTTTCATTTAGTTTAACTGATTGAAAAAAAGAGAAAAGAAAAGCACAATAATGGTGATAGGGAATTCCACAAGCTTTCCTATGTTAACAGCATTTAATGCTAAATTGGTGTTTATATATAAAAGTACTGAGTAGCTTTTAATTTAAGTTTGTATCACGACTCTGTTTAGATGGGGCATTTTCCTATGGCAAACCCAACATCATAAAATTTTTATTGTTCACGTTTGAGGTTGGCCGGCTGAGGTCGTTACTTATTAGACTCAAAAATGCTACACACACTTGGAGTGTTTATTCTGAATTTGTTTCTGTGCACTGAAAGTGTCTGGTGCAGCTGAAGAATAAGCAGAGGGAGCCAAGTGGGAAAACATCATTAAGAATCTTGAATCCAGGCACAAGTCATTGAAAAAAAAAAAAACTTGGCAAAGGCATGTGACCATGAGGGTGAGGTAAAAAGAGAAGAATGCAGGCAAGGCCATCTCTCAGCAACAGTGTATCTGGAGACCTGGAAACAGGCTGCTTCTGGGGTATTGATGCATTGACTTAGGGACCAGGCCTTTAGAAAATAAGGCTGCACATATAGCCCTAATTTCAAACGAAATCTAAATCATTTTTTAACAATCCATCCATCCCCCTTCTCGATATATCTCTAAAAGAATTGAAAACAGGGTCTCAAAGAGATATTTGCACACCCATCTTTACTGCAGCATTATTCACAAGAGCCAAGAGGTATAAGCAACCCAAATGGCCATTGACAGATGAATGAATAAAGAAAATATGCTCTATAATGCAATGGAATATCATGCAGCCTAAAAAGAAGGAAGTCCTGCCATGTGCTATGGTACGGATGCATCTTGAGGACATTATTCTAAGTGAAATAAGCCAATCACAAAAAGACAAATACTGTACAATTCCATTTATATCAAGTACCTAGAATAGTCACAGTCATAGAAGCACAAAGTAGAAAGGTGGTTGCCAGGAGCTGGGGAAAGGGAGGAGTGGGGAATTGTTTAATGGATAGAGTTTGAGTCGTGCAAGATGAAAATGTTGTAGAGATCTCTTACTGTACAGCACTGTACATATAATTAGCAATACTGTACAGTACACTTAAAAATTGTTCAAAGGGTAAATCTATGTTATGTGTTGTTACCCCCCAACAAAAAAATACCTTTTAAAAGTCACCAATTGAAAGTCTCGAAAATTTCTTTTTTTAAGTGATTTATTTTATGTCTAATTCTATTTCTTTTTTTAGTAACACTTTTATTTTTTATTTTTATTATTATTATCATCATCATCATCATTAGCAACGTCATCTAGTGGGAGAAGTAATGAGGTTGGTTTATTTATTTATTTAATGGCGGTATTGAGGATTGAACCCAGGACTTCGTGCATGCTAGGCATGCACTCTACTACAGAGCTAACCCTCTCCCTGGAAATCCCAGACGTTTCTTAATGTGGAAGTAGGCAGGGCTCTATTTACCCAGATGTCTTGCAGGCATCCTCTGTGGAGGCTCAGGATGGCTAGGCGGTCAAGTCTGAATCTGGAAACAGTACCCCCTGCCTGCCGACACACTGCTGGGCTCTCACACAGCATCCATTCAGTTACTTCAGAAAAGAAGTGCAAGGCTCATCTCTCTCCCACCACCATCGCTGTGTGGTTCTCCATATTTTTGTTCCTTCTCCCACTTCTTTTGTATTGGCGCCTCTCTGGTATGAATAATCTGGTAACATTAGAGGTGTAAAATGGAATAAAGAAAAGACAGTAGGTACTGATGGCCTCGTGTGAAACTAAATCACCAGGATGTCAGTCTAGATTCATTAACAGACAATTAAAATGTCCCTCAGACATCCTCACATGACACTGAGGAGACTTTTAGGGGAGGACTCATTTCTAAGGAGTTACGCGGTGCTTTCTTCCAGTGATGCTCCAATTTCTTTTGAAATTGGCTCATCTGCATACTTCTCTTGAAGAATGAACCCTAGAACAGCAGGGCTTTGTTTTAGACACCTCTGTCCCCCTGCGCTGACCTTTCTGCTGACCTTTCATCTCAGTTTTCTTATAATACGGGCAATATATTTGTCTTGATGCCTGAGAAAGCTTTACCAAGTTCTTCCAGTAACTACAGCAAGATTGCTTAGATCATTTTACAAGCCTTGTACCTTCCCAGCCGCAGGGATATCAGCCCCAAGGAGACAAAAATGGATTCCTGTCAGGAGGGAGGCTTTTTTACATCTTAGATATTACAGTGGTTTGCAAAATCTTATACCATAGTGCTTTATTCCTCTGGTCAGTGGAGAATCAACATTTAATATTTCTTCTCCTTCATGAAATGATCCTGAAACAAAGGTTGAGAAACACTGCCCCGGTGGATGGGCCTGCTATTCAGCCAGAGCTGGAGTGAACTGGATTCCAGCCAAGAGGGAGAAATGATCTAGTTTGTACATTTAGATTTTTAAAAATGGAAAAATGGCTAATCCCCTATAATATACAAACATACATTTTAGGGCTGTAATTTCATGTCAAGTACACTGGGTGCAACCTTGTTTTTAGAGTTTGGGTTAAATCTATGAAGAAGTCATGGTTCATCCAAGTAAATTTTAGTGCATTCTTAAAATGTGCCCGGAAGTAAATGTTCCTGCGATGGCAGGACAAATCTTTTGCTTGAAATCTGAAGTAATTCCAAGGTGACAGTTCTGGGAGGGCAGAGGCAAGACCCTGAGCTTTTATTTCTGATGCAGCCGACACTTAACTCAGTGTCTGGATGTTGGCTCAACATGTTTGATTATTTAAAAAGTTGGGGTGATGAAAGAAGTTTAGTTTTAACTAGAGCTGGAACTAGGGTGAGGCAGGTGAGGTCCCCGGGGTATAAAACTCAAGGACACTTGCGCCGCCCTCATGCTTTGGACTGAAGGCTCACCTTAGTCCTGACCCTGGCTGTAACACAAGTGGAATCCAGTTTCCAAACCCTGCCCTTTTTAGAGTTGATTTACACAGGCGATTCTCTGGAAGTGATACGGTCACAGGAGCGCAGGAACCAGACATTTAAAACAAGTTTCAACACCACTCCATTCCAGTTCTATGAGGAAATTTCTTTCGACTTGCATGTGACTCACATTGACCCCCAGAGCCTTAAATTTTCCACTTCTGTCTTCTAGATCACCACGGATCTGAGGCAGCGTTGCACGGACAACCACACAGGGACCTCAGCCTCGGCCCCCATGGCTGCAGGCATCATCGCCCTGGCCCTGGAAGCCAAGTAAGCTTTTATCTCCATATGTCTCCACTGGCGACAGCCCCTCATCTCAGGGACAATTGACCCCTTCCCTAGCGTACAACTCCTAGCACGACAACCCAGAATACAGTCTTCCCATGTCCACCTTTTAAACTTCAAAGACTAGGGCTGAAAACCATTTTCCCTTGTATTAAGGAAAAAGGCAACTTTTTTTTGGCTTTTTATATTCTTAAACAATCAAACTGTGTAATTACTTTATTGTGGAGTCATAGTTGAAGCGTGCCAGTTGGCTCCAACACTCTTGCCTTGTTGAGGTTTTTATTCTAGTCTGGGGATGTTCCTGGGAGTCTCAGACCAGTCAGGTCAGCCCACTTCTGGGCCCCTGCCCTGCAGAACAGCTCAGATTCCATGGCAATAGCACTGTCACAGACTCACTCTGGGGAACAGAAAGTCCAGGCCATATGACAGGAGCCCAGAAACGAAGGCAACCCACTTGCCTTGAATCCTGTTTAATGTAGTCAAATTTGGTGTCTAAAGGATCCCTTTGAAAGGCCCCCCTCGGGTTGCTTTAGGCTCTTAGGTTGTACTTATATGACAGTGAGTCCCATCTCTTCCTTCTCTAAGCACCAAGAGATCAGTTTGTCTTAACTCTGCAAACGCCTAGTAAAGATCTACACTCTCTTACCCTCAATTTCAAAATCCAAAGTGCCCAGAAAACTGCAAGTTGTTTTTGCAGATTTGACACCAAAACTCATTTGATGGCAGTGCTTGCCCTGAACTGATTTGAGGCTACTTACAGTTTCATTTATTAGGAAAGTTCATACATGTCACTGCAGAAACATTAATGAATTTGATGATGAGCTGTTGGCTTGGACCCCACTGGGAGTTTTGGGTAATAGATGCGATGGA